AATTGATTTTCTGATTAAATACGAGTTTTTTTTTAAATATTTTTTCTTATGGCATTTCTTTTTCAAGATACATACATCGCATCTTTTGAAAACCAAACTTAGTAAACATATGTTTTAAGTGGTACTGAACAATAATCCGGTTTCATTTTTTTCAAATATCACTAATCGTACTTCTCGACTTTTGGCAATTGAATACAGTAGACCGGGACGAAATTACATTTTTTTGTTGTTGAAAATATTAGGCCTAATAGAATCTATTAGATACATGTTTATTATCCAAATATTTTTAAGTAATTTAGTTTTTGCATGCCTACATAAAGATCAGGTTTGTAAATAATCTTTATTACATAAATACATAGATTACAGATTAATTGATTACTGCCCTCTGAATAATACAAGCTTATTGCTATGATGTATTATACTAACTGCTTGTTTCTGTAGAAGGGATGAGTTGAAAGCAGGTCGCTCAAAGTCATGTGATTTCGTCTCCTCTTTTTTTATATATCGATGAATATAACAACAAATAGACTTCACGAATCTATCATATATGTGTCAGTTAAGTTGGTTGTGAAAGTCAGTCAACTAACAATTATCGCTCCTATTAGGGTTGAAAGGACGATTGATTATACAGTATTCCTTGCACAGCATTGTAAGTAGCAAGAGAATGGGCACACTTCAGTCATTTAAGTATTTATATAAGGGCTGCAGGTAACAGTCATACAACAAAGGTGAAAACACTCTTGAAACCGTTATAGAACGTTTGCGTCAGTGCAAGATTCAATTTTTGTCGACTATACAACTATTCTGTTACATTATTCTACTGTATTGTATAGGCGAAGTGAAGAATATATAGCTAACACATTAAAGTTATCTTGTGATAATTTCACACCAGATACATGGAGTTTATCGGGTTGTGGAGATTTTGGTATAAATCGGCCTCTCTTGGTGAATTTTGTTGTCGGAGCCCTTTTCTCACCCCGTTGGGGACTTAGCCGTTGTCACAACTGCATTACACCATCGAGCTGAGGAGAACTGTTTGAATTGATACTCCGAGGTGAATTTAAGTAGGACTTACGTCTTACATGTGGGTTTGAGTTACATCTGGAACTTTCTGCCCTCGGTTGCCTACCTGTGATAGCTAAGCACCTGCATAAGTGTTCCCCCCCTACGGGGGACCCCGAACATCCGGGTGGCCCCTCACCAGGCGACTCCGAACATCCGGGCGGCCCCTCATCAGATTATACTCTGACAGAGGAATCTATTAGAAATTTAGCTAAAGGGCTAAAGGTTGGGCTCTCTAAAAATTAAAAAGAAGTTTCGCCCAGGTTCCGAAAGAAAAAGGGCTCGGAAGCGGAGGGTAGCGCGGATGCCGGAGGGCTCCGAAGGTCGGGGTACCACTACTGGGGCTCCGGCTGGACGGACCCAACCGCCATCTGCCACAGAGGTCTGCCGGTGGGACATCGGAGGCCGCACCTTCGCGACGCATGCCCTAATCACCTATGCGAGTGCTCCCAAGCGGGTCTCCCACCGCGTGTTGGCCTGGTTTCCGGGTCTCAACCTGGGAAATGAGGTCATCATGAGGAGACTTAGGAGACACAATTCTAACACTGGAGGATTCTGGAGAGGAAGTAAGAACCCAAAGGCGTCCGACTTGTCCTCTCAGTGGATTCCATAAGCTGGAAGATTATTGAGGACAACGAAAATAGGCTGTGTTGCGGTGGAAGCTCGGGAATGTTTATACTCTTGAGCAGGAAGAAACAGCCAGACGTCGGAGCGATAACTGCTGGAACTGGCCTGACTCCAAACCAGGGGTCAGGCCAGTCCAGACCGACGGGAGCTATGGCGGTAGACCAGGCTCTTTCTCAGGGGACGTGTCAGCCGAGGCAGCTCTCTCTGGAACCTCCGGAGGTCACGGACGAGAAGACGGCGGGTCCTAGCGGGGTTTCCGCGAGAAACATCGCGGCGGGCTCGGCGATGGAGCAGGCCCCATCGGGCGAGGAACGAATTCTGAACCGAGTCCGAGAACTTCTCCGTGGGCGTAGGGATGAAGGCGGCTGCGACAGTGAAAACTGCGGTGACGACGGCCCCGAATAGGAGACACTCACCGTCATTCGGGAAGGTGTAAGAGGAGCCTCTCAACACCCATGGTGAGTTTTAATTTCATTCAAATTAACTTACAGTACTGCATAGCGGCCGCTAGGGCCCTTACTCATGAGATCTCGCGAGGCCGACATGACGTGTCTGTCATCCAGGAACCCTCGCTGAGAAACGGTTCAGTAAACAGGCTCAGTGTACGCTTTTTAGCGATACTCCGGGCACAAAGCCTAGAGCTTGCGTAATGACTTCCATTAACCCATGGCAACTTAAAGAGGAGCTGACAGGGGCCTGGTCATATGTACGGCTAACCTTCCTGATGATTCAAGGGAACCTCCTCCTTCTAAGAAACTAGGGGACCTTGTCGCATTCTGCAGTGATTCTGGACACGACCTCGTGATTGGATGCGACAATATTGCCTACCGTGTCATGTGGGGCAGCTCGAAAACCAACAGACGGGGCGAAGACCTCATGGAGCTCGTAGGGGCATCGAACCTTCAATTTCTGAATGTCGGTAACACGCATACTTTCAGCAATAGCGTCAGAGAAAAGGTTATCGACGTAACACCGGGCACGCTTAACTTAGCTCAAGATATTAGGTACTAGAAAGTGTCTCTACTACACCCTTTATATTAGATCACAGGTATACTATATACTGTTCAAGACTGATGGATAGATTCCAGATAAATATGCTCGGAATCATAAGCATACAATAGGGGGGTCCTTTAGGGTAGACCTTCACAGTAAGCTTGGAGGGGTCCCATACAAACTTTGCTCTCTGAGCAGGGTCTTGACGACTTCCTATGAGGAAAACTGCCCGTTACGCAAAGTTCAAGGTAAGGGTAAGGCAAACTTCTGGTCCAAAGAATTAGGTGATAGAGAACGAGCTGTGCACAAACTCCTTAGCAGAGTTAAACACAGTAGAAAGAGTTGCAGGAATACAAACAGGAGATTAGAAGGGCCTCCAGAGAATCCTTGAGGAACTTCTGTCAGTCCATAAATAACATTCCTGCTACTGCTAGAGTACACATCGTCTCATGCAAAGACACTAAAGCAAGATTGTGATCTCTGTATGATCCCTCCGCAGGTAATACTACTTCTGAGGAAGGTACTCTGATTCATTTGTTTGTTCCATACAAAAGCCCAGGTCTGAAAGGCGTATTTCTGGCCATCTTACAGCATCGACGGAGTTCGGTTGTGACTTACCTGTTGAGGGTGTTTCGAGCACGTTTGGTCACGGGCTTCACACCTAGAAGCTGGCGGCACAGCTAGATACTCGTATACTGGTCCGAAGGATTTTCGTCCGATTACTCTTTCATTTGTTGTGTTCAAGACATTGGAAAGAATAGTTGATAGATACTTATGAGATGGCCCGCTGGAAAGGTTTGGCATCCAGTCCGATCAGTTTGCATACCAAGCTGGGAAATCGACTAATCTGACCTTACACAATCTGGTCGGTAGGCTATAGAAGCGAGAGGTGGAACTCGTGGCCTTTTTGGACATTGAAGGTGCATTTAACTGCACTACAACCGACTCTACCAGACGTGACTTGGTTAGGCACGCGATTGGATCAATCCTAATAGATTGGGTCCTATCTACTCTGGAGGGTCGGTTAGCAACAGCTATGCTGGATGACGTACGCAACATAAGGGCCCATTTAAGCTGTTATGGTGGCCGGAATTCCTCTGATTTCACGATTCATTCATCCAAAACAGACGCTAGAACGGAGCCTACTGATGCTTCCTGCTTACTTACTTATCCTTGTTCCTCCATATACTGTGCTTGTCAAAACCGATTTCCTCTAATTGGTTTTTGAGCGGGTCAAGATAGCAAGCTGAAATTTATGGATAATAAAATTGATGCATAAATAGTATATTTTGGAGTAAAAATGCCCGTTTGTCATTTTCAAAACCAGTGAATTTGTAGTTTACATTTTATGCTGGTATAAAGTACTTATAAGTAGCTTTACGCGTTCAATAAATCAGAAAAGCACTGTATATGTGTACGTATTTTGGTCCAAAATTGTTTGTTCTGAAGCCCAGCATTCCATCCACCTTTTGTGCAGTCGGCCTTGTGATGTCCTTCCGCTTGGATTATTTGTCTTGATCATTCGATTTACATGTGTATTCCAATATCCCCTATTTCTAACCTACTTCGTTATGTTTTCAACGATACTTTGATGTCTCTTTATTTCTTATTGTCATATATGCTTCTCAGAACTCTTTTTCAACTTTTAGATGTATCTGTTATGACTACTGCTGTATATGTTTGCAGTCGTTTTATATATTTTGACCTCACTGTTGGAGCTCACATACTTGTTCTTTCGAATTACATTTCTCAGACATTCTGCTTTATTTGCTAGCTTTATTGTCTGTACTCTTCTTTCACGCTGTACATTTCCAGATACTTGAAATGGCAGAACATGCTCTTTTACTTTTTCGATCAGCTTCCTCATTACACCTGGTGGGTTTGTTAGATGTGACCACAGATCTTACTTTTTTGGCATTGATGCAGATGAATGAAGATTTTAATTAAACCACATCCGCATTTCGTTTGAAAGTATATAGTACGTGCTATAAGTAGTCCTCAGAGTGTACCCTCAACATTGATTAATTACATCATGCCACTCTCTGTACAAAATAAGTGTTGCAATATGTCCCGGACTTTTCTGTATATCTGTTGAACTAGCTAGTATACTGTCTGCGAAAGGTTGAGAAATCAGGAAACTGGAAATAATACAGGCCAAAATAAATATACGGACTTTAGCGAGGGAACACGTGTGCATGCAGCATGCACACATTCTGGCCTCGCCTACGAGATCCGTCGGGTAGTACCTCCGCGTTCGACAGTCAGAGACCGTCTACCACCTACGGACAATCACAATATCCATAGCTAATAGAAAAAATCTCTTGGGACGGGATTCGAACCCACGCAGCGCACAGCGACTGATTAGGAGACCGCAGCGTCTACCACTACGCCACCGCTGCTGCCTACAGTTCCAGCGATACATCATTTTGGTCTTGTATTGAATGCATAGGAGTGGGATAGAGAGAGAAAAACGTATGTTACGATGAGCGCGCGATTGAAAGGTCAAATGACTCGCTGCTCTCACTCTAACATACGTGTCCGCGATTTTCGTCTGTCACTGGCAGGCTACGTGGTGGTTACAGTTGTATGGCGTTATCTTTCTAACATAGTAGATCATTAATATCTATATAATTATCCAAGTTTTCTGATAGCTTCATCATAGTCGTTCAACAGACACCTCGATTTCCAGCTACTCTTTATGGAGCCACTAGCAGCCCCGACAACGTTCATGAAATTGCAAGCGTTGGGTCACAAGCTACCATGCGAGCTACCTACACATACATAAACAATGTTCGATGTGTCTGGCTTATGTCATTTCCGTCCAAGCATGCCTTTGCTCGACTCAGTATGCCCAACTCAGTCACCTACTGAATGGCTGTAGTATCGTGTTGTCGCCAAGGTAGTGCAACCTATTCTACCTCAACATAAAATCAGATGCCGTGGCGTCACCTATAATTTGCACAGCTACGCTTTTCTCAATCGCATTAATTAGAAATCTGCTTTTGAAAGGTTATTGTCTCAAAGATAGCGTCAGGTCTACATGAAAATAACAGGGGAAGTTTCATCATATTGTGTAGTACGTTTCCGCTTCATGTTGCTGCGCCTATCCATGTTCAGTCGCCAAGAGCTCAATGACTCCTACCTATAATATTCGTTTTCCGCTGTCCCACCCCAAAATAAAAAAATTGCAGATATCATCGGCGGATATTGACTTTTCCTCATATTACTTTTATCGTTACAGTTTTGACCAATAACGTTTTATGTTGGGGTATCTGGCGCTCCTAAATCAAACTAAAGTGCAAGGTTTTATACGGACACCGAACCGCTCCTGCTCTTTATTAAAATTTATGTCTGTGTACGTATCCGACTCCCGGCTCCCGATATTTACCGAGAGATTAATTCCGCCACTCCCGAAACGAAATCAATGTTCCGAACGGGATGTTTCAGATGATCGCGTTATGAAGTCGCTATCAGTTTTTTTACGGGAAGTCCGGGAAAGTCTAGCAGGTGAGAGAATTAACCCATTTAATACATCCGCCATTCGCAGCAACCTAGCGTCACGTTGTACTAATTTTTTGTTTTACGGTCGAAATGTATTAGGTCTGCCCCAAAAAACATTTTAAGTTACAATTCTACTAATTCTACCACAACATAAGTTTTCCTTTTCCCAAAAGTGGGGAAATACCAAATAAGGCCAAGACCTAATAAGACGACGCGTAGATTTTACAGAAACTATTAACAATTAAAATTAAAGACAGTTCTACAAATTTATTGACAGCAGTTAGCAACCATCATAAATTCAGCAGCTGTGGAGCGGAGCTAGATGGCGCATTTGGACAGCGTCGGTTTACAACATGTGCCTTATAAAATTTCTGGTTTGAATTTGTCTCCGTTTTTGCATGTTGTCGGCTTGTTTTTGCGGAATCTCTTATTAATTCAATCAGGTACGTCTATAAAGCATATCCAGGTAGTTAATTGCTATTTGACAGGTACTGAATGTTTTCAATTTTGTAAATTGTATATTTAATGTTAAATGTGCGTAATAAGGCGATGTTAAATGGTTCCCATTACGGACACTTCCTTATTAGGGAAACTCTGGGCTTTATCGAAGGCGTCTCAAATTTAGATGATATTTTTTTTAGATACTATAATCACCTTCTCAGAAAAGGGCGTTGCGGTCAACCTGAACGCCTGTACAGGCACTAGATAGTATAAATAGTGGAATATCGATAAATCGTGCATCCAGAGAATACCTAATTCCGCGAAGAACCCTTTGCAATCTAAAACTCAAACTAAAACAACAAAAAAAAGTCTAGTGAATCTGAAATCGTTAAAAGTAAAAGGTAGCAGAAGAATAAAGACAAAAACTGGTACTGTTTCATATGCGATAAGAATGAAATACGTGACACGCGTCTGTGTGTAATATGCTGATATGTCCATGAGGAATGTGTAGCCTTGTGTAGAGGCGGTAAGTCATCATTTGTTTGAAATCAATGCGAAGACAAAATATAAGATTCTGTATGGTTTTAAGAATTATTTTTTCAAGCAAGTTGATTTTTTTAAATCTATCTGGATTTGAGAATTATCTGTTGTTGATTAGAAATATAAGTTCGTTTTATATTTTGAGCGTGGCTTTATTAAAAACCAGATCAGGGCCTTATTCGGATACCTGGGCTCCTAATAAAGCCAACGGTAGTGTGTCAAATAGTATATATTTTTTATTTGAAAAGAAAAGTTCACGGAGCTCTCCTATACAGCTTATTCACTAAACATACCTTAGAATAATACCTAGGTACGTTATTTAAAGACGTATCATTTTGCCCTATAAAAAGACATAAGCTTGACCTAAATTTAACAATAAAGGAAACATACGATACCGCTCTCGTTTGCTCATACATGCAGTTGGTAACCTATTGGTTAAAAAAGACTAGCAGGTGATGCACTTGTCTATAGCCGAGTGTGTTGAATAAATGGCTTCTATTGACTATAGCAGAATAATTTTGGAACTAGGTTTTCAGTCACAAGTGAACGAAATATCTGTGTGCAGGAAATTTTTGGGTCAAACGTGGCCACTATGGTTACCCAAAACTCAGAGACAGTAAAATTTAAAATTAAACTATTATAACAATAACCTGAGATTCTAAGAAAGCTCTGTTTTAAGGCGCTAAGTTGATGAATATAAGCAAAATAATGAATTTTCATAATTTTGACCTTTTCCAGACCTAGTAATTAAGGTGAAACTAGGTTTTTATCTTTGGGCAAATAATTTGATATTAAATAACTTTCCATATTGATGTAAGTGTGTATGAATTATACTACAATCTGCCTTCGTATTGCGTGTATGCGATAGAAAATAATTGCTGACAGGATCATTGATCAATCTCTCTTTTTAAATTGCAGTCGTTGTCTAATCGTTCTGAAATTTATACGCTGCTATACTGTGTGGTTTTTTTAAAATGCCGTGTTTAGCCTGTTCCAAAGAAGAAAAACAGGGTAGGTTCTGAAACGTGCCATAAGTAAGAAAAGAATACTTCAAAATTACGTTCTGTATTACACATTTTGCATAATGAGCATAACCCAGAAATATTGTGAGGTATGCCTATAAATCTTTGGCCTGTTCCGGTTTAAATTTTCTGACAACTTCTAAATTAAATTTAAATATGGCTGTAGCAACTATCACGCATAGGCAAGATTGTTGCAAATGAAAAGAACCGAGAACCAAACAGTATTCAAACGGTCAGTAAGAGGAATATGGCGATCAAAGGAACCCTTGAAACCTCAAGGTCTACAACAGGTTATTTAGTAGACATATTGACTTGCTTTTAATCAATCTGTTACAAACTTGGAAGGAATTTTTATTGGTCACTAATAAGATAAACTTTACTTACCAATATGCCCAAAAAAGAACCTAACATTGAGGGCATATCTTATGCTAACATTAGGTATATAACTTTCTGGATTTTTCTTCGAGGTCAAGCATTTTTGAGTACTTCTTAAAAGTGCCTTTTTGTAGTTTTAAGCCAACCAAGGTAGCGTGTTGGTCAAATGTCTATTAGGGCCCTAATATGGTACGTAGTTACACAATATTTGACAAGGAGGGTAGAATTACTAAAATTTGACGAATATATAAAATGTAGAAAATGTGAGATACCAGGGTCTGCCGCATTCAAATAACTGCAGAAGGAAAATGTTCAAAGGTGAACTGACAAAGTCCAGATGACTTATTCACAATATTAACTATTAATATTTTGAATAAAAAATTTTTACCAGTGCGTCTTCTGATAAGTGAGTATGGGAATATTTGTACACTTAATTTGGTCCAATATCCCGCAGGTGTATCTGATTCCACTGTACTATATTGGCATGAATGCCCAAACATATTGGAGCACGGGTGAAGCCACGGGGAAAATTGCCGGAAAAACAATACCGTCCAAGGCATTTTTATTTTGTTTACGACTGACTTTATTGAAATTGGTTCTTCTCATTCTCCGATATATTGCTTTTATCGTTCCTGTTATTGTAATTCTATACCCCTATGTGGGAAGGATTCCGTTTTTTGTATCGATGAGTGTAATATTCTGCACCGATTTGTTCGCCCGAAAGAGTTGTGCTTTCTTTTGTAAATTGCATTAAGTTCTTTGTCATTGGTCCAATGGAATAGCAAAAAATGTAGCATGGAATGCTATGCCGCTTAATGTCTTGGTTTCAAGAGAAGACATGCAGATCCGCATATGAAGGCAGACAGTGGCGGATGCGTGGGCTAAAGATTTTCTCCCAAAAGGTCATTAAAAAGTAAAAATACGCAGGAAATTAAGTAATATTTTGTTGTAGAAGCTCCCCGCTCTCCAAATGTCAAAACGGTGGATGGTAGAAAAGAATTGGTTTCTTCGTACAGAGTTGATGAGCATTAGTGACAGAAGTCTAAGGTCGGACCATATGCATTCTGTTTACATTAGAGTAACAGAACAAACGGAATTCATATGGCCAAATCTTAGAGCACGGTCACCGACAGGCTACCGATTACTCTACCAACAAAACAAATCATGATGCTAGTGATCTGATCTGATCTCCGTAACTAACACCAAGTGATAGATGGTTAGATAGCCCACGCCACCTATGGAGAAATGGCATAACGACCATTTATAACATAGAACTTAGAGGTTATAGGCTGACTCTGAAGCAGACGTCACTAAGTCAAACACGTCATACCGATAACACGTACATGACGTTTAGGCAACGCACACAGAAGGGTCAGATTGCGTATGAAAAATGCAGAGCTGTTGGACTGTCTCCGAGACCCAGCTTCTAGGTGTGAAGCCCGTGACGACACTTACTCGAAACACATTCAACAGTGAGGAACAACCGAACTCGCGCCGTCCAGACCAGGACTTTTGTATGG